ACAACAACAATAGACCATTTTAATTGTAGATAATATAATCATGTCTTAGTTAACGAAAAACGTTGTTTTGGTAACAAAAATATGCCATAATTTAGTGATTTAAAAAACTCACAAATTTTTAAATCTTCAACAACAAATTTATTCGTTAAGAATCGAGATTTCCATAAAAACTAAATCTTTTGATCCAAAATTTGAATAATTAATAGAGATTTTTATGTGTTTCCGGATTTTTAGCAACCAATAACCCATCATCAACATACCCTCTCNAATATTTATGAGATTAGCATAATCGAATTTAGCTCCGTAATATTTGCAAAAGATCGAATATTTGAAAAAAATACATATATATTCTTAGATATGTACAGTTTGAAATTATAAAAAAATAATTAATAATGAGAGAATAAACGTATATTCTATAACATATCCAAATATTTAGAAAACTTGCTATTGTTTAGAATCGTATTGAGTACTCCTCCACTCACAATATAAAAAAACACTGAAGCATATCAAACATAGGAACGTCTATGTATTTCTTTTTTACTAAATAGTTTATGTTTCTTTTATACGTTTAAATGTACTAATTCGATTTATTTTGTATTCTTTCTATACGGTTGAATGTACTAATCCAAATTTGGTTTTGGTTTATGTAGATAACTGAAAGAGATGAGAGAGATTCGAAGTATCTCAAAGAAGATGTTGCAGATTCGAAGAAATTCTAATCTTCAATTTCTTTTGATCTTAATCTTTATTTTAAAAATACAGTCTAAAATTTAACACGAACATTTATGTCATAAGTCAAAGATTTTTCAAGACTTTTAACATCTTATTTATGGGTTTGGTGCATGCAGACTTGGAGTTATGCTTCTCTATCCTTTGTAAGTTAAATCAACATTAAATGCTTGGTTCATATAATAACGCAAATTAAATTAATTAACAAAAATAAATGATTAGGTAAGCATGTTAGAAGCAATAGAGAGTCCAACGATGTTAGATGATCAATAATGGCTTACATATTGGATTATATAGTCTTTCATGACAATTTTCAAATTATCCATTTGGAGAATCCTTACCTGGTAACACTCTCATTAAATTATGTTACAAATTCGGATATATTTTTAAAGACTAAATATATTGTTATATTTTTGCAATTTTGAGGTTGTCATTTTGGTCATGCTTAAAGCTTTTGTCTGTATGTCGTTGGTGTTACCAATGCTTAGTGGTGCAACTTACAATTACTTCATTTATGTGAGAAAATAGGTTAAAATAGGAGCGCATGTTGGAGAAGAAACGAATTATACATATTAATAGAGAATATTTTTACAGATGATGAGTCTTGATGCTAGAAAATCGGTTCAATATTATTTTAACCAGGTTGGATGAGATTCTGTTGATAAAGTGGTATAGTATATCTTTTGGTGATCTTTTACGTAAATCCAATA